GTTCCCTCTGGCTTCTCCCTGCCGGTTGGAGGGTCCCGTGGGGGGGGGTGCACTGTGGTACCCCCGAGGTTTGGGGGTCCCGTGGGGGTATTGCACCTCCCCTGGTGCTCTGCGTGCTCCCTGGTTTAGGGTCCTACGTGGGCACGGGGCTCCTTGTGTTCCCCATCCCGGTTTGGGGATCTTATGGGTATTTTGGCCCCCCAATACTCTGTGGTCCCCCCCTAGGTTGGGGGTCCCACGTGAGACCCCCTGATACCCAGTGTCTCCCCTCAGCTGGGGGCTGTCAGGGATGTTAAGGGCTTCCCCTGCCAAAACTGGGGTCCCCTTAGGGTTGGGGGGCCAGGTCCCTGTCCCTCTCAGCCTCTCTGTGAGTTGTGGGGGTGGCTTCTGGTTTTGGGGGTGTCAGGGTCCCCCCCCCAGTGCTGCCCGGTCTCTGGTCTGACCGCCCCTTGCTAGGCCCAGAAATAAGGGTTCAGCTTGGAGCTGGGGGGTGTCCTGGGGGGTGAATGTGACTGTGTTGGGGGTGCTTTCCTTCCTCCCCCCCCAAGTCCTGGCTGACTTAACCCTTTCTGGGCTGGCTGGCGATTCTCCTTGGGGTCAGCATGAGGATGGGGAGAAGCTGGACCCAATCGTGTACCCCACGTTGGTGTCAACCCCCCTTTCACCTCCGTAGCCCTGAGCTTCACCCTCCATCCCCCATCATGGGAAGTCACCCCTGTCCCCTCTCCCCGTGCCCCGTCCCTGTGTGTCCCTCTCCGGGGCTCCCCGAACCCTTTCCAGGGGCCTCTGAAGCTGGTGAATTACCTGGGTGCTGTTGGGGAGCTTAAGTGGTGTTTCAGGGTTTCCAGCCTCTTTCTTATCGACAGGCTGGTTTCGGATTCAGATAAGTGCCTGATTAATGATCGGCTTTAAAATGCGTCATAAACTTAATCTCCCAATTAAGTATTTTTTTTTTTGAAGGGGGAGGGAGAGATTTCAAGTGCCAGGCTGAGCCCCCAGCATGGCAGTAATTACACTCGTTTGTAATTCCCCAGTGACTTTTCGTCCGTCTCTGAGCGATCCCGTTGGCCGTGTCGGATGTGACTACCGGGATCTTTCAGCTGCGAGTTCCCAGGGCAAAGAAAACAAAGGTACCGGGGATCTTCCAGCGGCTCCTACACGAGGAAGAAGGTGGTGGTGGGGGGGGTGTTTTCTTTTTCCCTAGACCAAGCAGGGCACCCCTGGGCCGGGACCGAGCACCCAAAGGGACCCGGGGGGCTGCGGGTGGCTGGCGTAGGGCAGGTAGAAGCGCCTGTTCTCTGGGGTGAGCTTCTCCTTCCTCTTCCCCACCCCCCCCCTTTATTTGAGCCTGGGGCTGGAGCCTTCAGCATTAAAAATTTCTTTAGAAACTGGTTTTCACGAGAAGCCAGCCCTGGCTTTGCAGCGTTTTGTGGCGTGTTCTCCTCCCACACGAGCTGGGCAGTGACTCATCTTCCTCCGAGGACTTGGTTAAAGGAGCACCAGCTATCTCGGGGCAAGATGCGTCTCCTCTCGAAGGGAGGCGGACATCTGCTCGGCGTCCCGCTTCGGTCTGTGGACCCTGTCGGCGCTTCCTCCGCCTCTGCCGGGGAGCAAGAGCGAGCTGAGCTGCCTTGGGTTAGTGCTCCGAGCGCCTCTGCGACGGTAGGGAGGAATACCGAACCTGTCTGCTTTGGGGAAGGAAGTTAAGGCTGTGATTACTCACTTGACTAAAACCCCTTCTGCCTTCTCCAAAGGCAGCCGGTTAAAACTGAGTCAGATCAGATGGGGTTGGTGCTTGTCGGCTGTGCCGCGGCTTTCGGATGGGCCTCGTGAAAGCGTGCTGAACTGGGAGGTTGGGCCAAAAAAAAAAAAATAATAATGTGCCTGGCCGAGGCTGGGTGGCTCTGGGAGCCCACGTGTTGGCACCGCGTGGCTTGGGCAGCTGTCCCTCCGGCATCGCGTCCCCCGAGGAGCGAGGAAGAGGAGCAGGGAAGAGGAGGGAGGAAGGCCTGTCAGGTGCAGGAGGCGTTGGCAGATGTCTGCCCGAGATCACGCTTGTCTGCAAACAGATCAGGTGTAAGATCTCGCAACGGGAGTTTTTGAATAACAAAGGTACGAAGGCACAAAAATAGGGTTTTCATCAGGCAAGAATTTGCCTCGGGTCAGTTAGTTTTTTCATTAGATGTTTCCTGAATCCCAATGTACTTTAAGGCGAAATAACTGGATAATCTAGCCTCTTTTTCCATTTAATAGCTAACTGTGGGGAAGGGGCGCGCTCCCTCTGTGGCTAGAGGTGCACCCAGGACTAATTTTTAACCTGCTGTCGCTGAGTCAAAGCGAAGTCGGTCTGGCCCGAGCTTCCTGTGGCTTGCGAAGGGGAAACGCTGAAATGTCAGGTCACTGGGAGAGGAATAATCGGAGTTAAAGGTGGTTGTTGAGGGGGTCTGTCCCTCCCGTGCGATGTCTGAGTGTGAAGCTGGGG